ATATTTCCCTGATGACTAAGGATGTTGAACATTCTTTAAGTATTCCTCAGCCATTTGTGTTTCATCCTTTGAGAATTCTGTTTAAATCTGTACCCCATTTTTAATTGGATTTTTTCCTTGATGTCCAGATTTTTTAATTCTTTCTTTATTTTATATATATGTCCATCAGATACGTAATTGGTAAAGATCTTCTCTCATTCTGTAGGCTGCCACTTTGCCTGAATGACAGTTTCCTTTACCGTGCAGAAGCTTCTCAGTTTCAGGAGGTCCCATTTATTAATTGTTGTTCTTAGTGCCTGTGCTATGGGTGTTCTGAAAGTCTTTTCCTGTACCAATAGTTCAAGACTATTTCCCTCTTTCTCCACTTTCAGATTCAGGCCTTCTAGCCTTATGTTGAAGTCATTGATCTATTTGGAATTGAGTTTTATGCAAGTTGATAAATATGGATTTATTTTCATTCTTCTACATGTAGATACCTAGTTTGACCAGCACTATTTGTTGAAGATGATGTCTTTTTTCAGTGTGTTTTTGGCTTGTTAAAAATCAGGTGTCCATAAGCACAGACAAACAATTAAAAAAAATCAGACAGGATAGAGGTAGAAACATCCTATCAAACTTTCATTCTGAATTTTCCTCTATACTGGATAATCCAAGTTTGCCTTAATGGAAACTCTTTCTCCTTCTAGACTCAGGCAGACTGTTGAATATTACTAGTTTCCAATACTTTTCTAAAATGTGTAAATGTATTTTCCTGAATAGGATTTTAAGGAGATCTAAGAAGTAAGTGAATTGGGATTGCTAACTTTCCATTGCTGTTACCCTGAAATGTCTCTTTAACCGAGACCTGCGTTTATGCTGGTTTGTGCTGGTTAGTTTTTTTTTTTCCAAGTTGGCACAAGCTAGAGTCGTGGAGGAAGAGGGAACTTCAATCAAGAAAATGCCTCTATTAGATTGGCCTGTAGGCACACCTGTCAGGCATTTTTGCTCCTTTTTTAAAAGACCTATTGTTATTATTATTGGTGAAATTATTAAGGCCACTCCACGTAGTTAAAAGGAGATTTACTTAATGGCGTAACTTACAAGTTAAGGGATAGGTAGGTCGCAGGGTCTGGGGAAGGTGTATCGCAGTCCAGCGGTGTTCTCTGGAGCTCTGCTTGTCCCACCTTCACCATCCAAGGTCCCGGAACTGAGTGAGTGCGCCGCCCATCCAGATCTCTGGTCTCCAGGCGCCTCCCTTGGCCCCGCCTTGTAGGCGTGACAGTTGCCGAAGTCTCCATGGGGGTTGGAACTTCCAGATCAAAGCTGGAATGGCTACCCACTACAATTATTATTTATTTTTGGTGCTTTGTCTGCATGTATGCCTGCAGGCCAGAAGAAGACATTCTGATTGTGAGCTGCCACGTGGTTGCTGGGAATTGAACTCAGGACCTCCAAAAGAGCAATCAGTACTCTTAACTGCTGAGCCATTTCTGCAACCCAGCATTTTTTGTTTGTTTTTTTTCTCTGTGTAGCTTTGGCGCCTTTCCTGGAACTCACTCTGTAGCCCAGGCTGGCCTCGAACTCACAGAGATCTGCCTGCCTCTGCCTCCCGATTAAAGACATGCACCACCACCGCCTGGCCCCACTCAGCATTTTTGCTTTTTAAAAATTAATTTATGTTATGTGAATGTGTTTTGCCTATGTGTGTATATATATATATATATATATATATATATATATATATATATATATATATATATATATATCATATGCATGCCTTGCCTACAAAGGCCAAAAGGTTGTTATATTTCCTGGAAATGCAGTTAGGGTAGTTATGAACCACCATGTGGGTGCTAGGTCCTCTGCAAGAACAACACTGAGCAATGTCTCCAGTCCCTGTGGGCATTTTCTTAATTTTAATGATTGATATGGGAGGTTCCTTCCCACTGTAGGAGCTCTGGCATGTGGTCCTAGGTTTTTACAAGAAAGTAGGTTGAGAAAACCATGAAGAGCAAGCCAGTAGACAGTGTTCCTCCACAATCTCTGCTTCAGTTCATATTTCTAGGTTCCCACCTTGAGTTTCTGAAGATATCCCTTTGTGATGGACTATAAACCGTAACATGAAATAAAACCCTTTCTCAGTTTTCTGTTGGTCATGGTGTTTTTAACAGCAACAGAAAGCAAACTAGACCAGAAGTTATTATTCGAACCGTATGGTATTGATGTGACAGACCTGGCCATGTCTTTGGAACTCTGGGCTGGAAAAGCCACTGGGTGTTCAAAGTTTAATGGGCTGTTCTGTAGGAGCTTGGAAGATAAGAGTGTTAAGTGCGCCGGGCGGTGGTGGCGCACGCCTTTAATCCCAGCACTCGGGAGGCAGAGCCAGGCGGATCTCTGTGAGTTCGAGGCCAGCCTGGGCTACCAAGTGAGTTCCAGGAAAGGCGCAAAGCTACACTGAGAAACCCTGTCTCGAAAAACCAAAAAAAAAAAAAGAGTGTTAAGTGCAGATGATGGGTTTCTTGCTTGTGAAGTTTCAGAGGGAAGTAAAGACTGTCAGGACAATCTGTGTGATATATTTTATAAAGATCTCTAGCTTCTGGGTCAGGTGGGCTGAGGAATCAGCTTTGATTAATAAGAGACCAGCATCACTGAAGTGAAATCTTCAAAGCATTCTCTTAGAGACAGCACAAGAAGCTATGGTTCACAGAGGTCCAAGGCTGTGTCTCAAACTGGCAGCAGAACTTGGTATTGTGTAAGAATGTTCGCATGTGGTGCTGGTGTTGGCCTCATGGGAGCTGCAAGGCTGAGGGGGTCATGAGAACAGCTGAGGCTTGGCCCTGTGAGAGCCCAGGAGAGACCATTGGCCAAGGTGAAGCCTCTGGAGCAGTGGACGCTCCAGAATTAAAGGAGCCCTGGAGAAGTTTAGCATCATGTTGCAGGTTTGGAGTCCTTGAATAGAGGCCAGGAACCCGCTGGTGAAGGCGAAACAGTGCAGGACAGCCCAGCATATTGGAGATGTAAGAACCAGGGATGATCAAGGACAGCAGCAGGTGTGGAGTGGCGCTGGCCCGATCCAATGAGAAAAGCAGGGTGTGGTGCAGATGACACACAGAGCCAGAGAGGTGGAGCTGTCCATGCCCTTTGGAGCCCAGAAGATCATGAATGAGTTCATGACATTGAGTACAGAGTTATTTATACTGATGGGTGTTGGTTTTGCTTTTATTTAATTGTGACTGTGTCTTGGGTTCTCCCTCTTGGAATAACAAGTACTTTTAGTTTACAGTTGAGAGACTTTGGATTTTTAAAGAGATGCTGAATATTTTAAAGAGACCATTTGAATTTTTAAAGAGACTGGGACAGTTGTACTATGTTTTATATTGTGATATTAACATGAGATCTTGAGAATAAACAAGAAATGACAGGTTATGGTTTAATAGTGATGCATTTATGTGTCATATTGACAAAGGTTCAATTTTGCTGGTTAAAAAATTTGTTTTCATATTATTTCCCTGTCCCCAACTCCTCTCAGATCCTCCCCACCCAACTTAATGTGCATGTTTTCCATCCCCCCTTCTCTCTCAAAATAAGGAGGAAAAACAACAAAAAGAGATAAAGAAAGGAAGGAAGGAAGAAAAAAAGAGAGAAAACCAGTAAGACAAAAGTTGTGTTGTTAGGTTTTTTGGGTTTTTTTTTTTTTTATCAGCTTAATACAAACTAGAGTCATAGGGAAGAGGGACTCTCCGTGGAGGAAATGCCTCCATCAGATTGCCTGTGGGCACATCTGTGAGCACTGTCTTGATGAATGATTGACGTGGGAGGGTCTAGTCTACTCTGGGCAGTGCCACCCCTGAGCCTATGGTCCGGGGTTGCATAAAGCAGGCTGAGCAAGCCACAGAGACCAAGCAAGAAATGCTTATTATTAAACCCCCCCCCCCCCCCCCGGCTTTTGCTTCAGTTTCTGTCTCCAAGTTCCTGCCTCAAGTTCCTTTTCTGAATTCCCTTCATGATGGACTATAAGCAGTAAGATGAAATAACCCTGTTCCTCCCCAACTTGCTTTTGGTCATGGTCTTCATCACAAAAATAGAAAACTAACTAAGATGCCGGGCGGTGGTGGCGCACGCCTTTAATCTCAGCACTTGGGAGGCAGAGGCAGGCGAATCTCTGTGAGTTCGAGGCCAGCCTGGTCTACAGAGCGAGATCCAGGAAAGGCGCAAAGCTACACAGAGAAACTCTGTCTCGAAAAACAAAAGAAAAAGAAAAAAGAAAACTAACTAAGATATGATCCTTCCTATTTTCTTCGTTCTTATTTCTTCCTATTTATCTTTCGAGGTTTGGCTCAGCCAGCATTTCTTTTTTTTATATATATATATAAAAAGATTTATTAATTTATTATGTATACAGCATTCTGCCTGCATGTGTCCCTGCAGGCCAGAAGAGGGCACCAGATCTCATTACAGATGGTTTTGAGTCACCATGTGGTTGCTGGGAATTGAACTCAGGACCTCTGGAAGAGCAGTCGGTGCTCTTAACCACTGAGCCATCTTTCCAGCCCTCAGCCAGCATTTCTTAAGGGAGATGTTCGTGAACTCCCAGCTGAATGCCTCAGGCTATGATCTGTTCCAATCTCTATTTCACACCTATTATATTAGGTTACAGTGTGGTAAACAGTATGCCTTTGCATCCTCAGCCTAAGGAAGACCGCTTCAGAAAATGCCAGTACATGTCTTCTTAAGGATGACCTCTGTTCAGAGAGGAGACCAACCCCATCAAATTACAGAGGGATTTGAATATTAAACATTGGAACATGGGCCAGGATGAAGACAATGGCGTAGCAGTGTCCAATTTTAAATTTTGATTATTATAATAATATTTTCTATTTTAAAATGGTGGATATCTATTTATGTATAGGTTTATCTACATAGGAATTTATTTGGAAGTTCTATCTCAAATAAAATAATACAGAAATGACTGTGAAAATCAATATTTTATTAATTACACATAAAAACAAATTTTCAGACATTATATATTTATAACAAATGCAAATATGGGGAATTCCTTTCAATTAATTAGAAATATTTAATAAAATACTATTAATTCATCCTCAGTATAAAATCTTAAACAACTATGAAGACATTAAAATTCATTTTAAGGTCAATCTTGTTCTCCCATATATGATCGTTTATTAAAATAATCACTTGATCTTAGTTCACTAGCAACTTTCAGCATTTGTAAGTGTAGTAGGCTATTTCCATGTCCCTTACTGGCATCTCTTCCCCTTCCTTCTTAGCACTTATCTTACACTTTCAGTGGTGACCAAGGTAGTTATGGCTCTTACTAGTGAACAGTGGTTCTGGATGTGGTCACTGGATGCATAAGTGCCTAGGTTTTTCCTGGAGATTTTGTCAAAGCTGGAAGTCCTTCCTAAAACTACTCTAGCCATTCACACCAAAGTATTTAATCTAAGTTCTCTATTCTCTGCCATAATTTATAGGGTGCTTGTGACTCTACAGTGGGCAGATGCCTCTCACAAATACATATTACCATAAACTCAAAGGTTATTTTACAATCCTTGCTGGAGATGAGGTAATGAGTATTAAATCTGTAACTATCCATATTTGAAAAGGAAAAAGTAAGTACAAAAAGTAGCTGAGGGTTAATCACCCCTTACATTTATACTTTATGCATTCAAATGTATTATGTGATTTGATGTTCCCAACCATCTTTTGTGAGGTAGACAGAACCACTGTTCTTTTACACATGAATTGCAGAGGTATGTATGTGAGCAGCTTGCTTACAGTGGCACAAATAGAAACTGATGATATTAGTATTTGAACTCTGGTTCTCTGATTCCCAGCCCAGAGGACCTTTTCTTCAAATCACAATGCCTCTTGCTATGTTGAACAGGACAAAGAGCAGAGCAGTAGTCTCTGACATCACCAACCAAAACTTGACTTGTTCTAGGCTCTGTAAATATGTTGAAGTTGAATGAATGAATGAATGAATGAATGAATGAATGAATGAATCCTGGACTTTTTTGGAAGAGTAATCCATATCTCATCTTCAATTTTGTTCTAGACAGACCTAGTGTACTAGGTAAATGACAATGAGAGTAGCTGTATAATTGTGTAACTGTAAAAAGTATAAATGGTAACAGACTGAGGACAAGCTATGCAACAGCATGTGTAGATGAGCATGCACATCATTTAACCTTCAGAAAGGTCTATTAAAGAACAATCTTGGGTCAAGAGACTGACACAGGTAATGCACTAGGGAGGTCCTAGTTCAAAAAACAAAACACAAGAACAACAAAGAGCATTCTTGGTTAAACTATTAGTACAAAATGGATTTGGGAATTCTGATCTATATGTCCCAACTTGTTTTAAAAGCTAAAAAATGGTATGTTATAGCTCTCATAGTATGTTTTCACTATAAAATTTGGGTTTTTTCTTAAAAAACTGAACTCTCATTAGCTTCCTTATAAAAATTACTTGATTATTAAAAAGCCTTCACTGCAGGAATGATCTTGCGAAAGAATTTATGTCCTTGGGAATTTGTATTTTCAAATATATAACCTGGAGGAGAAGGATAGCTAGCCGGGCAGATTTCCTGTTTCTTTGGTGTGTACTGGATAGAATACATGGTAACATCATCAAGTGGAACCGAACTCTTAACAGCAGCATTTAAAGGTTTGCAGCTCTCCACTGGAATCAATTCATGTGGCACAAAGTGAGATCTGAAAGTGCTCAAACCATCAAATTTTCCAGATGGGTTGGGAATCTGTTGCTGCTGCTTAATAAGTCCTTGACGACAACTTTCCCACGCTGGAAAATCTTCCTTCATGGTGCTTTTTCCTTGGAAAGGAAAATTGCTTTTTCTTCTGTGAGAAACTGGCCTAATAGCAACAGCGCGGCTGGCCTGATAGGGGACATAGTCGAGATGGCTGGTACTATGTAACTGCATGCTTCCTTGAGGGGGCACATACTCTGCTACTTTCTTGACTTTGGGTGGTGGGATTTCCCATGGTTGGAAACTGTCACGGAATTCAGTGCTTCCTTTAAACTGAGCGTTTGGGGTTACTCTTGTGTGGGCAGGTCTGCAGATTTTTGCACTTTCTCCAGTAAAACCCTGAAAGTCATTCCGGTGAGTGGTAAGATCCTCAAAAGGCTGGTCAGTAGGCTTATAAACTTCTTTTGGCCTTGCAAACTTAACTTCTAGCTGATGAGGTACATAATCTCGACGATGACTTGTATCACCATGAAAGGGGCCTACAGAACTCTTGACCATAGAGCAGGGCTTGAAGCTTTGCCTAGGCTTTATCTCCCGGGGAACATAGTCATCCTGAAATGTAGTGGAGTTTCCAAATTTCACATCTGGGGGATGGTAAGCTTGCTCTGGTTTACACAGTTCACATTTCTGAATATCCCAAGATCTATAATCATCTTAAAAATGAGAACAAATAAAACATTTTAAATACTAAGGAAAAGAACTTTCTTCAAAGAATCCTGACAAATTTCTCCCACTGGCAACCACCCTTTCTTTTAGATACACAAACACTAGCACCAGGTATGAAGTTTTCCTCATATTTGTTCTTTTTTGTTTCTTTTCCATCTTTTTCTATCTATGCATCTCCCTCTTGAGGATGGTTACTTTTCTACTTCCAGATTTATCTTATTACATACAAGGGTGCACATGAGCCTGACTGTGGATAGAAAGATAAATAGATTATGTTGTGGGTGAACACAGTATAAAATGTACTGGCTGAAGACAGTATAAAATGTACTGGCTAGGATTTTCACTATAACTCACAAAATACTAAGGTCAGTCAAAAAATTCAAGGCTTGAGAAACCTCTAAGAGGAAGAATTCAATGTCTTGATTATGTATCTCATGAGCTGGACAAGATTGCAAGGCCAAAAACATTTACAAGTCAATGATCAACTTTTTAAGTACCTTAAAACTCACAGGAATGAACTTCAGGATCCTATTAGTGAAAATTAAAAGTCCTACTGACTATGTACACCAGTTGCTCAATTTGAAGGAGGAGAAATTTCAAATTTCAATGTGATTCTGATCAAAGATACAAGATTGCATGGATTATTGGGCTATAAGGCATTCCCAAGAGATACGGTACCATCTAGAGACCAGGAGCCCAAGCTGAGTGTGTTCAAAATTTTATGTGCAATTTAGAAGTGAGCATCAGGGCTGAGATCTGAGAGTTAGAAGTTTAATACCTACAGATTACTTAAACCATAGATAGACAATTGAAGTGTTGTATTTTAGCAAGGCTTCTTTATGTTACCTATTTCTAGATAGAAAAGTAGTAAGCTGAGAAATATGGTAAAATTTACTTTACCCCACAAAAGTATTTTAAAACACCAAAAATTAATTTATAAATTCCAAGTATTTTACATACTAGATAATGTAGTAAGCTGAGAAATATAAAATTTACTGCATTCCAAAATATTTTTAAATACCAAAAGTTAATTTATAAAAAGTAAGTATTTTATAATAAGGTAAGATCATAGAATATGAACCAAAGTCCAGGAAATGACTACTGGAATAGTTAAGCTTTGAATGTTTACTATGTGGCTATTAACTGTGAAGAAAAAATCCTCATTCATAGATATTCCTGCTGAGTTTTAAACTAAATGATTAAGCCACTGATGTTTAGTGGGAGTGGAAATCCAGCCAAAGAGCAGATAATCTATGAAAAATTCTATGAAGCCAAGTGTCAAGAAAAGATGACCCAGACCAGTATTGTGCCCCTAAAGTTGAAAATCAAGAACCAGACGAAGAACATAAAAGAATGGTATGGGGTAGTGTTGTAGATTGATGGCAGATGGAAGCCATATTCTGAAAGACTTTGTATAGAAACAAAGAAATGAGGAACTGGAGAAGGCCAGTCGGTAGGACAGCAACAAGAGAAGAGGTATGAATTAAGCAAGGATGCTATGAGTGAAATCATGTACACATCAGCCAGAGCACTTCCATCCAGCTCCCTTTGTACGCAACAGCTTTCCATTTCCAGTTCACATGAAGCCTTTCCATGCTTCTTTTCCTTGTGCTATCATGAAGGGATCTCTGTTCTTTAGAAACTACAGTGTAAAATCAGAGCACTATTAGCTGTAGCTAAAAGGAAATCAGAGATGTTAGTAAGGATCCATAGTTTCAGCTATGTTGGGAAAGTCTTTGCTGCCAAAGTGACTATGAGAAAAACAATGCTCATTTTAGGTAAATATGCAAATGAATAGAAGAAAGTATTTCCCCACCCCAGAGCAACTTGGGCTTTTTAAAAGGAAACAAGAATCTGGAAGGTGAGAGATAAGTCTTGACAGAATGAAATACTACAAGTATTACTTCTTTTTAAGTTTCCAATCTCAGTAACAGGATTACCACAGAGCAGTGTTGGGAAATGGTTTTCTGTAATAGCCAGATAGGAAATGTCTTAGGAAATGAAGCTTAAACACAAGTCTCTAAATGTATAATGCCTACTGAAAATGCAAAATTCTATCAATGTACCAAGAACGCAGCAATAGGTAGTATGGAAAATGGGTGTGTCAATCAAGCTTTATTTACAAAAAGAAAGGGTGGGCTGGAGTTGGCCTGCAGGCCAGTTTGTTTTCCCTTGCTTTAAAATTTACAATACAATTTTTTTTTAACAAATCATAGTTCACTTTTGAGTAATATTGTTCTGATTTACATATGCAGTTGTGCACCTTAACGATGCGGACATACTGAGAGATGCATCTTTATAGTTACTTCACTGTGGGAACATCAGCATTCCTAAGTGTCTATGACCTCACTAGATGACATCATCTTAGTGGAATATGGTTGTAAACACAGTAGTTTGTTGACTGAACTGTTACACAGCACATGACTGATGAGTAACAACTAAAGTACAGCACACTTCCAATTCTTACCTCTTTTACTTTATACTTTTCTAATTGGTTAAAAAAAAAAAAAACAGCCAAAATTGATAGCATTTTTGCTCCAGAAAAACAATATATTGTCATTACATCTATTTCTGGGGACTTTTTTCTCTTTATGAAGACTAAGTTTCTGTTGCTTCATATTCCATTTACCCTTAGAATTTCTCTTAAAATTGTGTACGACATTTACTGATAATTCTTTTTACTTGTCTGAAAGACTTTATGAAAGATATTATCACTAAGGTTTGATATGCATGCTGGACTCCCTCTGTGCCCTAACCTTGAGCATTTTCAAGATGTAACTCCATTATCTTCTGGTTGCCATGGTCCTAGTTCTCACTCTTCGGTTTTTGCTTCTTTTTTTGTTATTTTTGAGACAAAGTTTCATGTAGCTCAGGCTGGCCTTCAATTCCCTGTATAGCCAAGGATGCCCTTTCCTTCTGATCTTTTTGCCTCTACTTGCCAAGTATCCGGATTACAGGTGTGTGCCACTATACCTGGATTTATAAAGTGTCTCTCATATTAACCAGTCTATAAATTCCTGCATAATTTTTTAAGTTATAAATATAACCTTCTTGGGGGTTTTAAAGCTTTCTGGGTCCATATTTTCCATCGGCTCTAGGAGGAGTCAGGTCAATGTCTCCCCCAGCTGGTTAAGGTCCACCACTGTTCAGGTGGGCACACTCCCTCATAAAATAAAATAAAGGGAGGAGATGCCAAGGACAATTTTAAGAGCCATGCCATATTGCCTGCCTGAGTTAAGTTTCTGTTGTCCAGTATTGAGCCACTAACCAGAAACTTTTGACATGCCTGGACAAGTCCTGAGTTATTAGAAAATAACATTTCCTTATCTTTCTGCTACAGTGACCATTAGTAACAATGTTTTGTGGTTAGGTTGCTTGGTTGGGTTGCTTGGCAACTCAACAGTCCCCTGATCTTTTCCCAAAGAAAGTTTCCTGGTCTGCTTACTATAAAACCCACCTGAGAAAAATAAGATTTTGCAGCTTGATCAGAATACTGTCTTGCTGTCAATTCTTTGTGTCTCTTGTCCCTTTCATTCGCCATTCCCCCTTCTAGGGTCTCTGCTGAAGATCCCGCTGGCCAGGACACTCATTATTTTTGGAAAAATATTTTTTCTTAAATCTTCAGGTAATTTTTCCATTTTCTTTCCCGTCTTCTGGTATTCTAAGTACATGTATGGTAGGCCCACTTCAAAGTGTTCCTCGGCGTTGGGCACTTCATGCTCTTTTCCCCTCCTTACATTAGGTTTATGTTGATTTATCTGAAGTCTACTGCTCTCCTGCCTCCCCAGGTGTACCTACTCAAACACCCATGCAAGGCATTGTCAACTCTATTAATTTTTTTAGTTATTACATTTTTTGTAGTTTCCATGTCTTGGTTAATTTTCCCAGTTGTTTCTGACCATCAGTCATAGTTTTTTGATTCCCTGATAGACCTATTATCTGGCTCCTTCCTGGACTGAGTTTTCCTTTGGTCTCATGACAATGTCTTCCTTTTTCCCCCTCCTTCCGACCCCTCCCCTTTTATAATTTGAAAACCAGACATCATAAATGAATCCATGTTCATTTGCCAGAGCTTTATTAGCACAGTTCAGTCCAATCCGTAATTAAGTTTGGGTCTCTCTGTTGCTATACTTGCAGACCAGCAGAATGTCTTCGGTATTATTCCTGTGTTCAGGTTGGAGGCTGGTTTGTGGGGAGGCTTTTCATCCACCTGTTCCACCTTTAGCTTTTTATATTTCAGGAAATGTGTCTTTCCATATCCTATCCTTTCCCAACAGTGGGCTGATGTTCATTTCCAAGTGAGGTGGGTTGCCGTGTGTATATGGAGGGTATCTGTTGCTCTTCTCCTGCTTGGGCTACTCTGTGTCGTGGAGGCAGAGCTTCGTGATGCCCCTGTCCTGTCCCTTTAGAGTCTAGAGTGCTTAGTCCAGGGACATCTCCTCCTTTCATGCTAAGAAGTTTCTCTTTTTTTTTCTTTCTTTCTTTTGGTTGATATCCCTAAGGGGTGTGCCCTTTTCTGAAAGGAAACAGAGGAGTGGATCTGGTGCTGAGCAGGGAGAAGGAATGGGAGGAGAGGAGGGCGGGGAAACTGTGGTTGGGATGTAATAAATGAGAGAAGACTTAAAAAAACTGTTTGGGAGGCCCCCAGGCAGTGGGACTGGGACCTGTCCTTAGTGCATCAGCTGGCTTTTTGGAGCCTGGGGTCTATGCTGGGACACTTCGCTCAGCCTGGGTAAAGGGAGGAGGGGACTGGACCTGAATCTACCAGGCTGAGCTGAATCCCCAGGGGAGGAGTCCTTGCCCTGGAGGAGATTGGAATGGGAAGTGGATTGAGGGGAGGGATGGGGGGGGGCAGGAGGAGGAGGGAGGACAGGGGAATCTGTGGCTGATATGTAAAATTAAATTAATTATAAAACAACCCCCCCCCAAAAAAAAAACCCCTTGTTTGGCTTGTTTCCTTTCTCTTGTCTGCAAGCTGCACTATTCA